GATTTTTTTTAAAACACCTAGGGAACTAAGAAATGTGTTCGAGCGCCAGCAAGTGTTGAATCGATTCCCCGCCAATGTTTACCAGATTTTTGTTGAAAACCGAGACTTTCCGGGAATTTGGAGCGATTATTTTCCTTTTCAATCGTGTAAAAAATCGCGTTTGTGTCCAGCGTAGTTTTTGCATAATGAAATTTGGAAGAAACACCTACACAACTTCAAAATGAGTTAAAGCTTCTTCAAGGTTGAATCAAATGCCGGCTAATTTTTACCAGATTTTTTTGGAAAAATGGAATTTTCGGAATTATTAGAAGCAAATATTTTCCTTTTCCATTGTGTAAAAGGCGCGTTTGTATCAAGGGCAGTTTTCGCATAATTAATTTTCTGAGGAACACCTACACAACTATAAAATGTGTCGAGAACTCATCCTTTCAAGTGTTGACTCCCCGCCAGTGTTTACCAGACTTTTTTTGAAAAATGAAACTTTTAGGGTATTTAAAGCAAAGATTTGTTTTTTCAATACTGCAACAAGTGCGTTTCCATCTAGCGTGGTTCTGGCATAATACGTTTTTGAAGAAACTCTTACCGGGGGGGCTTATAAGGGCTCAATTAAAGGCCCACCCATGCTCAACTGTTGAATAAAAGTTCGATTATTTTGTGTAATTAGCACAACTTTTCGCCTCAACTTAGAGGAATCTTTACGCAAAAAGGCAAGTAGTATGTACAAACATTTGATAATTAATTAGGCAAACAGGCGGACCAATTTCAAGTTCAATCTTCAAGGGCCTCTAGCTAAATCCAGACTGTTTTGTGCCGTTTTTGAACCACCTTGTATATTCAAGTTAGCCGAATCTTGATCTCGTTTTTTTATATTGTGCAAATACAGTACATTTACCTGTTGCAGACTCTATCCCAAATGTGAGTAGGCGTATTATCCAGAAAATTACTCGTGTTCATCACAGCGTTCCTGTACATTTCGTTAGTCGGTTCGGTCGGTCTTAGGGAATTTGGCAGCCAAATGTTATCGTCCTGCAACAGGAGAAACCAAGCAATTTTGGTTTTTGATGGTAAACTTCTAGAATTTTCCGTACATTGTCGGTTAGAAATCCGCCAGGGCTGGTAAAACTAAACCCGTATCCAGACCATGAGTTATGCGGCACTCTTGGCGCCCCTGGTTGAGGTTTCGACCTCAAAGCGCGAGCCGCCGATAGTCTTTTGCTCTCATAGTCACCAGGAGTGGCATTTCCAGAGCCCATCGACGGCTTGTTGATGGTCGGTCCATGATATTCTCCGGGGTTGTTCATCTCGGATAGAGCCGATGATAACTCTGCAAAACGTAACGCTGGCGCTCAAAAGGACGCTGCATGTGTGCAACCTACCAGTGGGTTGAATTTGAGCGTATCCGATGTAGGGATTGAGGTATTGTTTGTCCACATTTGCTCCAGAATAGTTGGGAAAACCTTGATGTGCTGGACTGCTCTTGCTGTTGGCTATTGTTGCGCTAGCAGTCGAGCAGGCGTTCAAGATGTCTTTGCTGGTGGCGGTGGGTTGACTAACTTGTCCACTCCTCATCGCCTGATAACTGTAAGAAAAATGGTATTAGTTTCCAACATCCAGCCAAAGCTTAGTTTACCACTCAACATTTCTTAACAGCGAAAGTTACTGTCTTAAGGTATTGTTGAGAATATTTCAATAAACCAATTTTAAATGTTTGCGCTTTTCTTACTCGTCGTTATTGAAATAGCTGGATATTTCTTTTATCGGTTTGCGAGTAATAGTTTTTGAAACTTGGGGAATTAAAACCGTCATGCAAAACATCAGTTTTAGTAAAAATTCAGCAGGATCTTCTAACTAAACTTTTCCAATTTTTGAATTTTCGAAGACTTACCGTTATATCGGACGCTGTTTGAAACATAGTTATTTTAAATGAAACGCCCAAATGCCTGTGTGCTTTAGTGTGGGAGATGCGAATTTTTAAGTAAACGGGAGCAATTGACTGACACCATCAGTTTTGTGGGGCACATTTACAAAGCCGACAAAAATCAGGTTAAGGAAGGATTTTTCTGAAACTTTCCACGTCGATGGGGTCAAGTGTCTACTAAAGATGGTAAAAGATGCAACTGCCTGTCTGCTTTAGTCTGGGAGATGTGAGTTTAGTAAACAAACACATTTTTTTCTCTAAAAATTCAGGTTTACGACGTGCGTACAATTTTCAATAAAATATTTCGATTTTCTTCTCCAAAATCCATTACTAGCGCTCAAGTATATCAAGTTTGCCTAAAGTATTTATGACAATTCTAAACGTTTTGGGACATTCAAATGCATCTGGCGCTTACATAAAGCCTTCAAAC